TAATACTGCTGTCTTATCTGTATGTCATGGAAACGTTATGCGAATTTGCTTCCCCGATGGTCACACTGTATTCAAGAGTCGTACAAATCTGGAACAGAACCGCACAAATCGTCGCATCAACGGACAACAGTTGGCTTTTAACCAGCTTAACGCGTTAAATGCAAGTTTCGAATACGAAGCGCGTATTGGGCTACATCATCTAGGCATTTGGGCAGTTCTGCTAGTTATGACAGAAATGAGACTGGGAAACGAATATCTTAATGGGAGTGTTCCACATTTGATGATAGTGGAGCAGGCATCAGATATGATGAAATGTGCTCACTTGTAGCTATTTGTGCCCTTTAAGATAGAAGAGACTGCTCTAGACAGCACAATGACTCTATTTAGTAAATATGCTCCTCATCACATCACTGCTTGATTCCGTCGTGGAGCGTTTATATAACGTTGAGCTACTGCCAAGCCAGTCGTGCGAGATTGCCACTAGTAGTACTTCAAGCTCATCGAGATATGACAACACGGGCTGGAGTTGTTCGCCGGGCCAAATGTCATTGTTTGCTAGTGTTTTTTGCTCTTTCTCGCTGTGTTCTTGCATATCAGCAAGTTTAATATTTTTGCTTGAATTAACATATTCCGTTATGTCATTTAAGTTATTCGGTTGCAAATATTATTTCCGTAATAAGGCGCATGTGAAGAAATAATGACTAACATCGTATATTATGTAGCACAAAACGTGCTTCATGATAAAAGCTTATACAGCTTGCTCAACATTGCTTGATAGCCAGTTGGCGTCAATTACATTAAGAAATCGCGCCCACGCACGCCAGATCTCAACGGCTGGAGGATCGTTTTCTTCCTGGCCTTGAACGCGGCCTAGCTTGTAGAATGACATCATTTGAATGACGTTGTTATGCGTCATGCATGCCTGAATGCCATTAAAATAGTCTGCACGAAACAGTTTGCGCGTCTTCCCGGGTATGTAGCTCGGAAACAAGTCGGCTTTGTGTCTTAAGAATGGCAGGGGTAAGAACTGCGCCGAATAATCGTTAAAATGTCTATTCTAGCTCAAAACCCCATTCAAATGCGAAACACCTCCTGTAAGGAGAGCACCGTAACCGCAAATACGAAGGCATGCAAGATGCATGCTTTTACGACCAAATATAGGAGAACACCCTAACACAGTGCCAAAAAAACCGGCGTTCATAACGATATTCGTGTTTGTTCACACAGTAAGTTAACAAGTGATGTCTCGGCGCGTTGAAAATCAGGTGAGTCAGCTCGCCCACTAGAGTAGCAATACTGACACGGTCAGTCTGAGATAAACTCTGACATCACAGGCTTGTCCCATGATGTTATGAAATGATGACGCATTGAAGAGTATAAGTACTACATGATGAAATTGTGTTGTCTAGAGCAGCCTTTTGCACGTCATAGTGACCCAGTTGGCGAACCAGTGACAGCCGAGCGGGCAACGGGAGCTCCCTCTCTCTCTGAAAAAGTTTTTCGAAGATATTTAGCGTTTGAAAGCGAGCTGTGCATTAGGCGTTTGAACGCAGGCAATGTTAGACGCTGAATAGGCATCAGTATCCACACAGCTATTGGCCCCTCCAAAAATGGCACTCCTGTTATGGTCTCGCCAACCACAACGTATGGTGTGATATGGTATGGTATAGTCGCACCGTACATGCACGTCTGGTGTGAAATCCATGTGGGGACACCCGATCAAAACGTGCTTCCGCCATGCGTCGCACAAGCTGTGAACTAGTGGTGGGTGAATAGAACCATCGCTAAACATTGTCTTATGGCGAATCCACTGAATAAATTCGCAGGTTCGACCAATGCCGGTTTTGTTTTATGATTAAGATGGCTGACAAGAGAGCTGGTAAAATCAAGACAACAACGTAGCGATCAAATGCAATATTTGCTTAGAACGTTATTATAATAGAATTTGGCAGCAAAATGCGCATTGGCCATTTCAAGATGGCAGCCTGTAATTTTCCATGACCGTTTCCTAGATGGTCATCGCTTGCTCGCCTCCTCACCGGTATCTTTAAAACTGAAATAAGCGGCGTTTGTGATAAGAATTACCGATCTCGGCGCTGCGTCAGTATTGAACAAGGCCAATGACGCTCTCAATCTTGCATCTCCTTTTTGGGCGTTTTAGTCCTTTTATGGCCCGGATTTAGGTTTGATATTTTGCAAATTCCCTGTTGAAATCAATGAATGCCTGGAGTGAGTACTCTCGAATTGGGTCATACCTTTTCTTAGTGAACAGCCCATCAAAAATTGCGGAAAAGAAGTCGAAAGGAAACGTTTCATATTTGCAGGCATTGAAGCAGGTATCAAATATGATAAAACAAGCACAATTTTAACTATTGGTTGAATTGTAACTGGAAAAGGACTTTTGTAGACAACATTATTTTCCTTTAAAAACAAAAAAAGTTCCTTATACGTTATTGTTGAATTGAGTGTCGCGCCTCACACAACCTTAATAGAGAATCAGTTGATCGTCGCTTTATCTAGAGATCGTGCTCACGAACGCTAGATATGAATAATTCAACAGTTGTATCTTTCTTGGCCTTAATCGCCACATGGCAAAGGAATGATAGGGCTTGAATGAAGGCATAATGGCATCACGGACGCCCGCGTGCCATTGAAATAGTCTCCCCGAAATAATCTTCACCTATTCGTGGATGTGTTGCTCAAAAAGTAGAAGGGCTTAGTACTTAAGAAGGGCAAAACTTTGAACTGCACAGTATGATTTTCAATATGACTACTTCAGTTAAAGAAGAATTCTTACAAATGTGGAGCACTCCCTTCGATAACTTACAAAGCTTGGCTAAAATAAGCCAAGATTCAGGTTCTGCTATCTAGCGGAGGGTAAAATTTCAGAGGCACATGTTGATGCAACTTTATGCTATTCTCAAGCTACTATTTCGCCAAATGGATACCAGAAACAGTATGTCAATTGCTACAAGTGAGATTTCTCCATCTTTAACATCCTTGCCTCGATACATTCAATTATGAAGCATTCCCATTAAAGCTCTCTCCCATACACGCCATCCAAGGTTTCGATCCTCTCTAGGCTCTCCGCATGAGGAGGCCATGCATCTGAGCTTGAGTTAAAAAAACCCAACATTTCTAAGAGTTTCCCGGTATTTAAACTAAGACGGCACATATACTTATTTTTAGTCGTTTTTGAGAGGCGTTCAGGTCTCAAAAAGACAAAATAAAGGCGGGACTTTTTCAGGCCACTCAAACTGTGTTTTCAACGTGTGGAATGCATGCCGTACTGGGATATGGTCGATCCAAGTGTGGGTCGCGACGGAAAGTGGATCCCACAAGTGCGATCCTCCGTGCTATAGTGCAACTGGAAGCCAATTGGCGCGAGGTCCAACGGCGGCGCAATGGGGCAGGGCGTTGTGGTAGAGAATGAGCTGACCGCGTGCCTTTGGTGGATGGTGATAGCTGTAAGGAGACGTTTGCTCGCCAGGTTTTGTTTCATCAGCATAGCTACGACGGTGAATAATCAGGACAGTTCCGACGGACATACCGAGATTCTGAGCTCTCTGGTTGATCATCACATGCCGGTATTCCATCATCACCGCCTCCACGTGGGTCATGCTGAAAGATCAGTCATCGCCGCTGGCCTCTCGGAGCATGGCAAGTCCCGCACACTCTTCCTATCCTCCTAGAACTCCTGCGTGCACCTTTAACTCGAAAAGTCTTGTCGCTATAAGTTTTTGAAAGTTATTTGTAAATCATATATGCCTTCTGCTACAGCGTCACGAAACTGACGACCCAATGCTGCTAAACACGATCGAAAGGAAAACAGCTATTATTACGGCGCGTAAAATGAAACTTGAAATGGAGCCAAGTCCATCAAACGAATCAATATATCAAGCTGCATTCGTCGATGTGCAAGGAAAATAGGTGGAACTGTATTTGCAAAACAATCATATATCATATACATTGCCGCCTCCGTGGTCTGGGGGAAAGATGCTGGACTCGTAATCCAGCGGCACTGGGTACGAGTCCCAGAGTGGGCGCATTGTTTGACCCGACTGAAACAGAAAGGCCAGCTGGCAACTGGCCAACGAGGCTCAACCCAGACCCGAGGCGGCCGTGTCGCAGCATTGCGCGGCACGTAAAACCCTCCGCATTCCTGTCCGGCGAAAGGGCGGAGGCAAAATTAGCTGTTGAACTGGACGGCACGCTTGGATGGTGGGTTCGGGGTACACGCAACAAGCTATGCTTAGCAGGTACTCTGAATCCGAAATCACCCATACAAACCATTCGTGATAAATTATTTAAAAAAATAATAAAAAATATATACTAGGCACCGTAGATGTATTTTAGTCGTTATATGCCTGACCTGCATTTGCGCTGCTCTTTCCTATCACATGTGCATCTATGCAACATAGCAAGCTATTTTGTTTAAGTCCTATGCGAACTTCAACATGGCGAGGCCGTTGAACACAAGGATCGGACGCCTACGCCTTCCCTGTTGTAGATACATACATCCGACAAACACGTCGATGCTCCACGGCTGGACCTGACGCGGTCAGCAGTATCCGCACCATGACCGGCTTTCGTAACACGCTCTCCCGGAATGGTGTGCCGCGCTACAGGGAAGCAGGCCGGAGCGGAAGCGGCTGGCCAACCGCAACGCGGTCACCCCGGCGTGGAGCAGATGAGGTCAGGAACATGACGCTGGGCTCATTCAGAGTGTGTGTCATCTGTAGCGCTGCTCAGGATCGGCGAAGGGGAGCCAGCTGTGGGGTAGATGTTGCCCGTTGCAGCCGCGTGCCTGCTTTGCGACAGTGGTCGCGAAACGTCTACAAGGCTAGCAAACAGCCGGTTTTAGCGTTTCTTCCCACCAACATTTTAGAGTTAATCTCAGATTCTTTACAACACTGGGTGACAGCATTCATATCTGCCCCTACCCCTGCTCCCCTGGCCTCTGTTCGCTCCAGTTTCCCGCACGTTAAAGGCTTGTGCGACATACCATTGTATTGGGGGTAGCTGCCTTCAACATGCCAAAATACAACAATATTCCGGTGATGTAAAACATCTTCAGTTAATATTAGTCAATGCAGGATGCTTCATGGTCCCAAAACTAGATCGGACATCGTGGCAGCATTTGCGAGCATCATGCGCATTACGACTTCCTAGAGCAAGATTGGGCACACTTCCGGTATTATTGGACTCACACGTGAAAGCTCGAGTCTCTGGCAGCGATGCTGTCAGACAGGGCAAACGCGCAACAGTCGGAGTTCATGCAGTCAGTAACAAACGATAAAGACACTGGTGCGGAATATTAAACATGCTAGGTACAAACATAACGGTTCAACCAAGCGGCTCTGGGTGCATTTCGGTAGTCATTTATCGACAATACATCATCGCATCCACTAAAAGTTCAAACACCCATCCACCCACGGCAGTCCACAGACAAGGCACCATCGCATGGTGCCTCATCGGCCACTGCTGCGCTTGTCGGCTTCACTCAATGCATCCAGCGAATACCCGGACCCCAGCAACATCCGACACGCCTCACTACAAAAGACAACTGATTAAAGCCAACGCACGGCACAGTATGGACGGTTTGGTGTACTCTGGTCGGCGGCGGCTCGCAGCGCTCGTCACGCGCCGTTGCTGGCGGCCGAGGATGGGCCTATGGCCGGCTGCGTGGCACTGTCGCCGCCGCCGACTATCGGCGAACGACGCCGGCCGCCGGCCAGCTGGAACGAGCGCGAGCGGCGCCGGCGCAGCAGCGCGTGGAACACCAGGTAAGCGACGGCGGCCAGCGCCGCTACGCCGGCGAACACCAGGAACGACTGCCGGTGGCCGACGCGCAGCACCAGGTAGCCGCCCAGCTGAGCCCCGAGTGCGCGGCCTGTCGCGAGGTCAGAGCAGGTCAGGGCGGGGCAGGGCAGGGCAGGTCAGGGCCGGCGCGGCTGAAGTGGGCCACTGAGATGGAGCAGGCCGGCAGGCCAACAGAAAAACCATCGCGGGAGCCCAATGGAGGGGTCGAAAGCCAGAAACCTATAGTACAGAGTAAATGGAGGAGGCTGTCAGGTCAACAGCGAAACCATCTAGGGAGCCCGAAGAAAGGATCGGAAGTCAGAAATCCAGAATGGGGGTTTGTCGCCCGAGTTCATTGTCAGAGACTCGACTGAAAGGCAACTAAGTGCTGTCAGCTAGGACAGGCTCATCTCGCATGGATTTCGGTTGCGAAAACATTAGCCGGGGCTGCGATAGCCGCCTGGGGGACGGGTCATGCGTTAAAAACGTAGCATGACATCTGTAAAGAAAAAACCTGACGTAAGCAAAAATACTTTCAGCTCCTGCTGTTTTGGTAATACCAGCTCAGAATTCTTTTCTTGAGTTATCGACGTTCATTATACCAGTAGGTACTGGTTAAAGCAAGTTATAGAGCAAACGTTGGTTGTAGTGATGGCACATAGCGGTATGATTATAAGCACATGAAAGTAATCTGAAGCCAATACTGAAATGGATGATAATTGCATAGACTGAAACACATTGTGCCATATTCAACATATATCTTGCAGGAAATGAGATAATCAGAAACTCCCGAGATGTTGAACGCGCGTCAGTGGCAAAAAGATCCTGCATTCGTGTGTTCAAAAGACAAAAAACAAAACAAGAGACAATAAATCACAGTAGACGAAAAACAGTAACCAGTCAGGCCGCATGGCGAGCCTGCCACAACATCCCCTGACAAGTTAGCACCGACTGCGGCTGGGAAGGTCACGAAGTCCTCCGGTGGGATAGTCGACAAACTCAGCCAGACCAGACGGCCAATCGCTGCCTGAGCAAGCCAGCTATAACCCAACATCAAGGCACGGCTGAGTTCGCCAAACGCTGCGACGCGCGTCCTACATAACCCGCAGCCTGCGACCTTGCAGACAACCCTAATCTCTAACGGCAGAGGATGCGGCGCTCCACTTACCGCCGCCGAACAGGAAGCAGCCCAGAATACCGCGCACGGTGGCCACCAGTTCCGGTGACACCATGGACGCGGCGTACGTCACAGCCGCCGTGTTCATCAGGCCGCCGTCAATGCCATCTAGCGTCTCCAGAAGTAAACTATACCGCGGGTCGACGATCACCGCGTATCCTGAAAAGAAGTGTTGTTTAAGTACACGGCATTGCTGCAAAACGACATTGAAAGCCATAACTGTTCATCAGAGTCAGTACGATTGATGACAATAGTGCACCTTAGCCTGATCCGCCATCACGCGGATTTCGCTGAGACTCTGATCAGGATGGGTCACGAATCGAGCCCACCGACCAACCGGCCGTACAAATCGGCATGACTCTAAACTACACCAGCCTGATCACCGGACTCAGCGGCCAGCCCGACTCACCAATCAACTGGGACTACCGAGAAGTCAGATCAACCGATCAGCAGAGCTCATCAGCCAGCAAGCTCACTGTCAGTCGGACTTACCGAACAGCCCGACCCACCAACCAGCCGGGCTGACAGATTACCAGGGACTCACCAACCAGTCGAACTCAACGACCAGTTGGACTCACCGACCAGTCGGACTCACGGACCACTCGGAATCATATGAGCAGGATTCTTACCAGTCAGCCAGATTCATGGACCAGCCGTACTTACAGATCACGAGAACTTGAACGACTAGCCGGACTTACCCACCAGCCTAACTTACTGGTCGACCGGGCTCACTGACCATCCGAACTCACCTACCCGCACAATCCACGGGTCGATCTCAATCGCCGTCCAGCCGGACTCGCAGATCGACCGGGCTCACCGACCATCCAAAATCACCTACCCGCACAATCCACGGGTCGATCTCAATCACCGCCCAGTCGGACTCACAGATCGACTGGACTTACCGACAACCCGAACTCACAGCTCACCAGGACTTACCGACCAGCCGGACCCCATACAGCAGGATGCCGAACACGATGAGGCTGACGTGGCCGAACAGGCGCAGGCAAAAGCCGGAGATGGCCAGCATCAGCAGCTCGACGCTGCTGCCGACGGTGATGGTGGTGCCGATCAGCGTGCGGTCCGCCCCCAGGCTCGCCAAGAACACGTACGTGAAGGTCTCGATGTGGCCCACCACCATACCTGCCGACCAGGATGCCGGTGTGAAGTCTCTGCACCAGACGGTTGGAGAGCCTTAGTGTAGAAGCCAGGGCAACGGCCTTTCGAGCATGGCTTTTATTGTTTTTAGCACAGTTCTCTGGCTCGACGCGCTGGAGGCGGCACACTGCTCGGTTTCTGCGCCTGAACAGTAAGGCAAAACCGAACTTTCTGTGTTTGTTTTTTACGAGATCTTATACCAGGCCTAGAGCTTGTTGAACACTAGAACAAAACGCGATACTTAAACGGTGAGGTTTGGTACCATCTTTATGTAAGCCTTGGTAAAGGAAGGGGACGGGAGCCGCCTTCTCGGGATTTTGTAAAATTGTACACAACACAACTGGCATGCGTTATTTTTCTTACCGGGATAGGAGCCTTTGTGCGTTTTTTTAATGTGTGCTTTTTACTGCACGCATTGTGTGCAGAAAAAGATAAGCAGCTGGTTAAAAATTGTGTCAGCTATTGGCCTTTAGTGTTACCAGTAAAAGTGAGAGCGATACCCGAAAATCGACACGTGCTTGTTGTGTGGACCCTGACTCCTACCATCCGATGGGGCAATTCCACGTTAAAGGAAGAGTTTTGCAGCAAAAGTTTAACGTGCTGCAATGCACGGCACGGTCCGTCCTGCCCTCTGGCGTTGTCTGGCCTTTAACACTGCCACCGGCCGCAGGCCACAGTCATACCTATCCAAGTCAAGAAGCGAGCGTGTACACGAACCCGGACACACCCCGCCACGGATGGGTGGACCGGAAGGCAGGCGCTCTAACTGAGCTACCAGGACGGAAAAACGTTCTAGCACTTGTTAAGTCTGCGGAGCGTGGGCAAGACGGAAATATGAGGAACCGAGCTAAGTGGGAAAGTCCTATCCTATTAATACTTAAGTTATTTTACAATGCACGTACGCGTAGATTCCAAGATCAGAGCGACTTTGTCTATGGGTAGTATTAGTAATGAGTCAGTGCGGCTTGCTTTCTAATGCCACATAAATCCCTAGACTCACATCAATATGAATGCCTTTAACGACATGGGGTAATACAAACATCCGATAAAATCAGAGTGATTTTACATATGGGTTAATTTTACCAATAGATCAGTGCAGTGCGGCCAAAGACGTAAAACATGGATGCACCAAATTGGACATGGCCAATTGTCAAATAAACTGGAGTGGGACGTGGTTACTTGACAAATGGACTGGAGTAGGCGTGGTCACTTGTCAAATGGACTACATGCTCCTAGTCCGGGCCCATAATTAAATTCACGCTTACAAAGCAAGCAATAGCTTACACTTTTAATGCCTATAACATTTTCGCACCAGTGTCAGCTGCATCTACATCGCAGCTATCATTCCACTCGAAACGCTGAACCACGTTTGGTAATGCCGAACATTATTATTTACATAGTTTTAAACGCATGTTTAAGCTACAGCCGAATAAAGCCTTACTTGTGAGTGGTCACGCATACTGCATACATTTCAGATCCTTGTTACAAAAGCAGTAATGAACCAAGGAAGGAACAGTGATTAGTCAATGCTACACGGCAAAGGCTTGGTGCCCTAGCAATGCCAACGCAGTGTATCATTTGATCCTGCTGCTGTAGAATCAGCAAGCTGTTGCTTCACTGACTGCAGAACAGAAAGTACGGAACTACTACATTTTGTCATTAACCTGCAAAACAACTGGCAAATTGTAGGATTCTGAGTTCCGGACGGTGTACAGTGGCTAATAAACCGCAGCCGGCCGGTAAGTCGGTAACAGCCGGCAAAAAGAAAAATGTCAAAAGCCAGTTGCACCCGGTTGAAATGGCATTTAATGTTTTTTCAGCTCATGGAGTCTTGGCAACAGAAAATATCACAACATAAGCTCCCTTGCGGTAATACATCAGTATAAAAAGGGGCATGAACATGCACGGACAGACAAAAAAAGGAGTGTGCTGAGAGTGGCGGCCTCAACACTGAAAAAAACAACAGCAGCATGAAACGCCGCATGGGTGGCTGCAAAGAGGTCTCGTCAACAGCTAACGAACACCGATCGAACAACAACAAAATCGAGAAACTAGTTGTGGCTCAGCGCTCTGGCTTTGACACCACCTGCCAAGTAACGGCATCACTGACCAGTGAGCAGCAGAACGAAGAAGAGCACGGAAAGCTCGATTTTCTGTATCAGCCGCCATGTGTACTTAAGCAGTGACTCCGACGGCTTGTTTCTGAAGCTGATGTTGACGAAGAACAGTACGATCAGCGAGAGTAGTCGAAACACGCCGAGCATGTAGAAGCCGGGTCTGCAGAGGAGAAGGTGAGTGAAGGTGAAGATGAATGTGAGGGCGGCCATCGGATTGTGCCCAAGGTCATGAAGACATAGTTCGGCAGACAGGTTTCCTGTAAGCAATGCATGACAAATATATAGGCAACAAACATGCCATTTTTTACTCCTGCCATTTTGGATTTTTCATGTAGTTCTGGCCGAATATCATGCGAACGATCCATGATCACAGCAGAAAGAGCTTAACGAGCTGGCGACTAGTCATTTGCGGGATCAAACGCACACTTTATGTATCAAGAAGATTCGAATACATTCTCGAACCTTGGCCAGCAAGCAATTTGATATCGAAGTTTAAGTATATGCGAGCGCTTCATCGGTTTCATATACTATGACAGACCACTTTATCGAAACGCAAACATAGCCGCAAGCTTACTAGGTACACAAATATCAACAATATTTCCTAAACAGGACGTCTAACCTTTTCGGCATACTTAAAAAAACATACTCTAGTGAAATATCAGGACTAGTTACGTCTAATACTAGCACTGGGTAGTGCCACTGCAGCATCGTCAAGACACGATAAGGACATCAATTTTAATTACGTTTACGTTAAATTACGCCGCCTACACTTCGTAACAACACAACGCTTTTTCCCTGCAGTCCCAGTTATCGTAGTGGTGACAAGCATCGTGCGCGCCTCTACTGATGCGAATAAAAACGTTTTTGATTAGCCCGGTGGGCAAGGGCCTGTTTCGAGAAAAGGATTTCGAGAAAACTGGTGCTACTGATCAAATCGTACGTGTCTGATGTAACAACAAGTGAAAAGTCCAGAAGGGTGGCATGCTCCTTTCAAACTGTTCCCCACCGGTCAGTGACACCGTTGCATGACTGAAGGCGCCTAAGCCGGAGCACTGCAGTGCTTGCGGTTGTCCGCTATGCTGTTTCCTTATCGCGTGTTGACTGTTGAGACGACCTAGCGTGACTGTTGTGCGCTTAATCTCGCTCGTGTACACATGTCTGGTTATGGCGGGCGCACGCCACGCCAGCCTTCAGAGCACATTTCTCAATGAGGAGTGCATCTATCTGACGTAACTCGGTCGCCGATGACATGAATACACCAGGCTGTTTGGCAAAGTCTTACGTTATTTGAAGCATGGTTTCCTATTTCACCAATCTCCGGCTCAGATATTCGTTACTATATTTTGGCTCTTGGCCGTACTCAGATGATTTTACGAGAAATTAAATTCATAGCGAAGTTGAGCCAGTCCATGATGCCATCCGACGTGAACATTCTCCTAACTCGAGCCGACCTTACCGGAAGTCGTCTTCCACCTAGGCTGAGCCGGCCCTTGATCCTATCCGAGAAGCAGTGAGCTGGCCTGTGCTAGTCTGACACTGTATTGGTCTCACCGCCGTACCTGAACCATCCTCTGACCCCACCTGAGGGGTCTATCCTCCCTGGTCAGAGCCGCCCTCACCTGAATTTGGTCTCACCACCGTAGCTGAGCCAGTCCATAACCTCCCTGAAGGGTCTTTCCTCCCCGGTTTTGTCCTGCCTGATCCGAGCCGCTCTCACCTGAAGTTGGTCTCGCCGCCGTAGCTGAGCCAGTCCATGACTCGGCCGGCCAGTGGCGACACGACCAGCGCCGCCAGCGTGCCCCAAAGCCGCTGGAAGCCGTAGTCGATGCCGTACTGGGCGCAGAACGACAACACCGCCGTGTCGATCAGCGTGTAGGTCGTACCCAGGCAGAACGCGTAGACTACACGCAGGCCGATGTAGAGCGACAGGGTGAGCGCGTGGCTGCTGCGGTCTTGGTCGGGCGCGCAGACGTCGGCGCGCGCCACCGTGTCGGCGCAGCGCAGCCGACAGAGGCCGAGCCCCACCCGCGGACAGGTCACTGGCAGTAGGCCGGTGACGCCGCCCACGCCCACGGACAGCACCCGCAGCTGCGACGATGTATTGGTCGAGTTGACGATGCGCACATCCAGCGCGTCGGCCGGCGGCAGGCCCCGTTCGGGGAAGAGCACGCTGCACCTGGAGGCGGAGGTACCGCTGGTGACGGCGGTGTGGTGGAGAGGTCACGCACGGTGACGGTGTACAAATGGAAAAGTTGTTGCGAGCCATGTTTAATATGGAACATACTGTCTGTAGCTTCAATATGAAGGATGGGCTTGCATGCACTTTGGTGTGCTGGAGGCTAGCTAATGTTCTACTTGCGTTAGACACGGGAAGACAACCAGCACGCGTTCAGCATGGTGTAGCAGGTTTGAAGGTCTTTCATCAAAGCAATACAATTGTGGCTTCAGCTTTAAGCGAATGATCCCAGACAGATCTAAGCAAATCCTGACCGTCCTACGCCTGGTATCGAGTGAAGGACTCTCACAAAGCCATCGCTTTCCCCACGGCCGCTGTCACCACAGACCTGTCGTCGCCGATGCCGCAAGCGAGACCTCCAAGCTCGAAGCTTGAGTCGTTGACCGACTGGCACGCCACCACGCACCGTCGCAGCGTCAGGTTCAGCTCGGGCAAGCCGGGGTGCTGCACACACCGATCGTGCTGCCATCTGACGTGCAGAAAGTCATCCACGCAGACGTGTTCCATGGCGGCGACACCAGGCGGCGCAACGTCCACGATGGCGGGCGGGAGGAAGGCCAGCACGACACCGGTGACGCCCTCCAGAAGCAGGGCCAGGCCCAGGTAAGCCTGAAGGTCGGCCAACGTCAGCAGGTGGTGTGCGCAGACCATCATGGGGACCCATGGGGGGCCTCGAATAGTTTGGACGGCTTGGTGAGCGGTCTCCGAACAAGGCTTGACGATGCTGACATTTCAAATATGGTTGCATAATCATGTGGCTTTGTTCTGAAGGTCAGTTTTAGCATCAAGATGTCTCTCTTTTTGAGATTGATATTTCTGAGATTACGCGCGCCATAACTTTATCCATTATCATTTATCTATATCCATTTATCCATTTCACCACCATAACATTATCGGTGGTGCATGCATTTTGAATAATGATTACCGAATTAGCGTTGTAAGATCTGTTACTATAATCACACCATATTCCACGACAACTAGTGCATTGGTATAATGACGAGTGTAGAGCATGAATAAATAAAACCACACTTGCACCGCTCGTCAGTAGGGCCAACAGCCACTAACTCAAAGGCCAGACGCCTGTTCTCAGCCCCCGTGTTTGCGTCGGAAGCTGAGAATTCAAACTCGCGATATTATCCGCAATGCTGTGATCACAGTCACCTCGCGGTCAAATAAACATCCCTGGGCTTCTGAACGCTCGCAAACGCTACAAAAGTAGCACTCGATCCTGCACCATCATCGAACTGAGCTGTGACGTCCGCTGCTGCCTCTGGCCGTGGCTCCGTCTCCGCGCCCGTTTCTTCCCGCGCCGTCTGACAGGGGCGCGCTCCGGCGGCCCGCGCACTCCCGCGCCCGGCGCGCCCCGCGCCCGCCGGCCGGGCGGCACCGGGCGGGACGCGACCGCCCCTGCCGAACCGCGGCCGCCGGCCGACTGACCTTGAAGTTGCCCATCTTGTCGCCGATGTAGCCGGCCGAGAGGGAGGCCACGATGCCGGCCAGGCCCCCCAGCATCACGATTAGACCCGTCTCGTCCGGCGTCAGCCGCAGGTGCGCCATATGCGTCGATATATGCGGCCAGATCGTCACGATGCCTGCGACGAGAGGCGGCGTGGCCGTCACCGAACGCTCCCAGCGTGATGGATGGCGGATCGACTGCATGGGGGGGGGGGGGGAGCTTCCACACGGGACACAGAGGTGTGCAAGCTGCCAGTCATGCGTGCAGCCAATGAGGTAATGGTACACGCCCTTACAACAGCGGACGAGTAGCAAATCGGAGTAGACACATGCTAGTAAACGGCTTGATAATGACGCAGGTGAACTTAAGTCTAAAACAAGCCAATCCGTTTACACTCGCGGCTCTGAAATAATCAGCGCCGACCTGTCTGTATTACGTTCATCGTTGGTCAGAGCAGTGTCGTGGAATTCAATGAGATAACGCTGGCAACACGATGGGCGGGCAAGCTAAATTTGAGTCGGACACAGTTTGACAGTCAGGTAGATGCCAAATCGCATACCCTCGCATGCGTCAAATCGCCATTAATGGCTACCGTGTGCGCGTGATAATCCTTGCACTTTTCCAGACATATCGCACCGGGAAATACATCATACATCTCAGAAAGACGAGCCCATGGCGATTCTAGGGAGGGAGAGGGGAGTGAGAACCAGGTAATTCTTTCACAGAATTACCAGGCTCACCCTTGGCCGTTTTATAAGGTGACGGGCTGCGGCTTGCCGGGCGAGTGGCGCGAACCTCATACCTCAGCGCAGGAGGAAGAGATAAGGGGCAAGCGTTTGTCGTAGCCTTGCCTCGCCGCATCGGGCCAGCAGGATGAGGAGAGCATTGGGTAGCGGTCGTTCCATCTCACGTACAGGAGGGAGGGAAGTAGAGCAGAGGTTACGTTCGCTACCTCTCGGCGGCGGGAGGAGGGGAGGGGTAGAGACCTCTTTGGCTGCATCCCGCCGCGGGAGGCGGAGGAGAGCAGAGGCTGAGCCAGTGCCCACGGCAGGCTGGGGGAGAGGCGATGGTTACGTCATCACATCCTAGTGAGGGGACGCGGGAGAGTGGATGGTTGCTGCCACGGCTCACTGATGAGGACAGAGGAGAGTGCTGGCAGCAGTCGACACATCTCTCAGTGCAGGACGACATCATCGTCATAAAGCACGACATTGGCCCGATAATCTATTGGACAGTTAAGCAAAATACCGGTCTGCTTAGGAGGCACCCCTGCCTGGTGAGGTGTTATTGCAACATTAGTTGTGGGTACTTCTCTGCTAATTATTTGTTCATGCATCTTTTTTCAATGCAGTTCAAACCCACCGGTTGAATATGTGGTTAATTATATTCAATGTGCAGTAAAAGAAATCCCCAACCAAGATATATCAAACAATGTTAAGTAGAAATAATCTCGCGAGGAAGAGGAGTGCCGTCACAACACAGCACACAGCACTGTCTACGGCCGTGAAAGACCCTACAATGAGACATGGCCACAAGCTGTACCCTCATTGCAGTCCGGCCTTCAAACGCGCAGGCGGCTGTGTTTTGAAAACATTGCCCTGGCGCGCACCCGCAATGAAAGCGTTCTCCTCTGGTCAGGCAGCTGCCAAGGACAGGTGAATCCCTTGCCGGATGCCGGATGCCGGATGCCGCGCCATCTGCCCTTGACACACAGTGGCTAGACCGTGACCCTAAGAGCGCGGTCACCAAAATATCGGTGCAACGTTTCACGGAAGCCGAGGCGCTTGGCAACCGGCCAAGTGGGCCAAGCATCCAGCCTGCCATGACGTCATATCATCCGTCTGCTGTTTGATGGTGTGTACTCGGATGACGGGCGTCTGTCGCCCGACTGACCTACATTAGGGAAGTCGTGTCCCGGGGCCGGCGCAATAAGCGCCGTTTCAAGGTCAGATAAGAGGGTCCTCTTCATCAAATGCTGGTCGTCAGGTGAGGCTCACACAGACTGCTCGACAGGTCGTCATGGTGAGTGCAGGATCGTGAGACTTTTTAAATACTGTACATAAATACAAGTTTGACTTACCCCATATGTCGCATCTGCAATCTTCTGGCAGCCGCTCGGAAAGGGCTGTCGTTGTCTAGCACTTCATGAAGCTACTTGGATTAAACCTGGTCTACCGTTGCTAGTGCATAGTCTTTTTGTGTCATTAAAGCGTTGCGGTAATGATAATCATTGAGCCTGCCATGTCCTTCTGCCTTTTTACATACTTTTGATCGGAGAGACATTCATGATTAGAACTAACTGCACGATTCGCATGGAAATGCCGTTTTTGAGGGATCACCCCTGTCCCAATATGACATCCACATAGGTAGACTTTAACCTTTGACCTTTCACGCCACCAAATGTCTGGAATTTCCGGGCACTTCGGTGGATGACGAATCGCAACGCTCCAGCGATTCAGCTTCGAGGAGGCAGCTCTGGCCAGCACATTAATCTCGGTTTGCCCTCTCCCGCAGTCTGTCCTTACCCGACTGCGTACTGCCCCATCCAACAAAGTGCACGGCGCGTGTAGGTATGCGAGATTCACTGCAAAGTGCTCGTGATCTACTTCATAATTCGCAGTAGCACGCAACGCCATGCCAGCCCGGCGGCCAGCAACCCCTTTCGTGCACGGTGCTTACGGTCGTGTGCAGCGCCGTGGCCAGGAATTTTCGAGCGGCGCGCGCACGCTACCATCGCCTGAAGTTGCCGCCAGGTCGTGCACACCTCGTCACATCGGTAGATGCAGACTGTCACATCGCAAGCATTCATGCATGTCACGTCGGTCAGGCACGGATTTGTGTTCTGTTGCAGGTGGGGGGCGACTCCAGCCGGCCTGCGACCGTCTTGCCCCGCGCTCTGACTCCTCTCCTTGAAGTCACTGAACGGCCGAAGAGTGGTCCACTTAATGTCCAGTGTATTCACTTCGTGTCCAATTAAATTATTCTGTTTGTACCAGCGATTGCACCCCTCTCAGGGCTGCTTCGAGCTGACCTATCATACTTGACACGAGAATTTATTGATGAAGCCGACATATATGGTGCTAAAATACGATGAAAATGGTTGGGAAAAGAAAAATGGGAAATGGGTGAATGCTGACAAGCTACTAATGACGGCTATCTCCACTAGCTTTGAACTTAACGGGCCCCATTTCGTCACGGACGGCAAAGCTTTGGGTACACTGCGATACTGTTGCTACATCTGTCAGCGTTTGAGCCATGTGCCTTCGGACATATCTGACACGTTTCTGTCTGTCCATGCTTCTCCGTCTGCAGCTCAGTGGCATTGCAACCTTGCGGCCTCCCTGCTGAATAGCTGACGTGGCCACTACAGCCAATGATAATCGCCCTCACACTGCGAGCGTGCTGTTAGTCGTTCTTTATTGGCAGCTGAGCAATATTTGCTACCCTAGCACCTGGCTGCTCGGCGGGCCAGACAGGGGTCAGAGGGGTGAGGCCGCCCTCCAGTTATTCAGCGGAGGGCGGGCGAGCGACGGTCACACCAGGAGCCGACCGGCGCGACAGCACACCGATGCCATCATCGACACCGACTCTGCAAACACTCACCTGCTAGCTCCATGAAGAAGAGTAGCTTGATGGGGAGCACTCGTAGGTCGATCAGATCCTTGGCGAAGCTCCGCATGTGCTCCAAACTGTCGCTCCATAGTGAGCATACTGTAACGAAGGACGGTGAGGTCAGAAGCAGTGGTGCGCGCTGTCGTCGCGGAGCAGCAGACTACGCACCCGGCAGAGCACTGTGCCAGGTGAGATGTAGGGCGCAGCGCTGCGCGAAACGGGAGCACACGGCGGTTGGCTCCAGTTGTAGTCTTGCCACTGCAGAAGCCGAGCTTCATCCGTTTTGCATGACAGCTGATACAAGTTTGTTGCACTTTATCATCCTCACAAGCACGCGTTTTTATGCAGAAACTAGACCACGGATTTGATGGGAGAAGAAGGGGCGAATGAGTTAAAAACAACAAATGGAACGATAGCGTCTACTGTTTAACTATAAGGAGATATCCACACCCACTGAGAAGAATGCAGGTGATGGACAACAGAACAGAAAAGGAGGCACCCAGCTCGTCATTCGGGGTTTTTAGCCATTCACCGAATGGTAAGCCCAAAGGCGGCGACGGCCCTACGGTAATAATGCGAAGAATCATGATGCATTTAACAAAGCTCCCGTCAATCTTTTCCTCCGTTCAAATCTTAGGAGTGTTATTATGTGGTTGTTTTTTGCCGTCCAATAACAAAAACTCAATGGTAGGACGGTACTCAGCGGCCCCATAACAACATATGTCACAAACAAGGACTTAGCGTGAATCGCTTCGCTCGGGTCCTTGGAAACAGGTTTGAAGGACGTATGTAAAACGGTCCGGTCGCAAGCGAACGCAAAGTGCCACAAAATGCCTCGCTGCAGGGTTGTGAAAAGGTGCTAGGTGTAGCCAGCTGTCATTTTCCCTTTCAACACTGAGCGCGTGAAACTATACGTTTGAAAGATGTTAAAAACCCGTAACCGACGGGCGCCTTTAAGATGGTCCGAGCAGCATCGACGGGCGCCTTTAAGATGGTCCGAGCAGCATCGACGGGCGCCTTTAAGATGGCCCGAGCAGCATCGACGGGCGCCTTTAAGATGGCCCGAGCAGCATCGACGGGCGCCTTTAAGATGGCCCGAGCAGCATCGACGGTCCGCAAAACATCGTCATCCGTTTCACGCGTCCAGGCGTATCCTTCTCCGGCGTTCCACGTAGTCCTAAGAACACGACCTCCGCTTTCCGCTTCCTGCATAAGTGATGACACCCGGCTGGGCATACCCGGAGATCTCCTGCAGCAGCCAGCCGTCTGCCAGCACCCACGCCCCGTGAGTCACAGGCCAGTCGGCTAAGCCGATCATCGACCTACGGACGCAGCGACAGGCTCCTGACGCGAGGCTCACCCGCCCCGTGCGAAAGACGCTACAAAAGTTCCACCCCCGCAGCAATGAAACGCTGCAAGAAATGCATCAGTAATGGCTGTGAGGTGGACGAGGCCACGGTGGCGGCTTAGCGACTGGAAAGTCGTCCGCCGGCCGGCCTCGACAGAGGTCAATGGCAAGGTCACGGGAAGGGGCGCCAGTAATCCTTGTGGATATGGCCCCGGCAGACGTGTTGACGATAACAGTCCGGGAGGCGTTCACCCCGAGTCTCTGCCAGCACCCGGCGCCACCGGTTGCGCGGGTTTTGAACCCGTGTTCTGGTCAAAGAGAGACAGCTGCCAGGGGCGCGTCCAGGGGACGTGACGTCACGGGGACAGGCACGGGCGGGCATGGATCCTCAGGGACGACCACAGCGCTCAGCCGGTGTGTACTTCCGCACCTGAGCGGGGAGCGCCGGCGTCCTGAGGGACCTAGGCGCGCCTCCGCCGGAAGGCCGCTGGCTCTTGGCAGCGTTACACTGGCAACAAACCGGTATGTGGCTTCGGCGCAGAGCCCGCTGCTCTCCTCATTCCGCTCGGTCCACGTCCAGGCCACTGTGCGAGACCGTGGACACAGTACTGACGCACTGACAGTCTGACGGTGCTAACGCAAACATCCGACAGACGGTCGAACCATGCAGGTTAAGAATCATGCGGTACGGACACGGCCAGTATGGTGTTTGCGCTTTGTACCCGTATGTCGGTCTCTTGGGATTCGCGGCGGCGGAAACGCTGACCCAAAACACCGGGCTGGCGGAGGCCGCGGCGCGCAGCCAACACTCGGCCACCTGGCTCTATTTCACAGATAAAATGCCTTCAGAGCAGTGAGCACAAGATGATGGTGAGAAAGCGCTCGTCGGCGGGACGTCCGTTTCTTAACAGACTACAGCCATTCTTGTTTACAATGCATCCACCAACGAAGCCGGGAGCTTCCATACGAACCTCTGAATCATCAGCAGGACACAGGCGCTCCGCAGGCGCAGTGTAGGGCAGTAATGACGCCTGCTTTCCAGGGTAATGCCATGGGGATATGCTTGGTTGGCGACCGTTATGAAGCGCAACCGTTCATAGCTTTAATGGTATAGTTTGGCAGCAGCTTTTTTGTTGGGCCATAATTATTCAAGGTCATGACCTGTTCTCAATTTTCTGGTTCCATGTTCAACACGTCGAGTGGCCTAGTTGACAAAGTAGAGTCTCACTCTGTTCTGCTCACTGTCCTGAACGTATGCTGTCTGTGAAATGAAGTCCAGTCGGCGATTGTTAACTGCGCTCCGCGGATGCACCGCACCGTCTCCGACACAAGGGCCGGCTAGTCAGTTAGTTATTGAGTTTTTAGGGCGCGTCAACTGTATACGTCATTTGCGCCCAGACACAATGGCCGGTACCGACCATTACCGGTGACTGTCCAGCCCACATCATATGTGATCACTCTATATGTGTATCGTTTAGTGATTGTTGATGTGCTTGTAATTATGTGTGCAAAAAGCAGATACTGAACAAAAACTGTGCTTTAAGGCTTTTGTTAACTTATGTAGATCACAAGCAAAGCTTTAGAATGCGGATATGCGTTTCGCAACTCAAGAATTAAGAAATAATGAACAGATCACCGCACGAATGAATGGCACATCCGGTATATTTGTGATTGTGGACAAAGCTTTCAATGTGGGTATAATGAACTATCTCCTCTCTGACACCTCTAAGTTCACCCGCATCAAGAGGAATCCAACTAAAAGCCTGTCAACTGAAGTCAACAGCCTGGTCCCAGCCTAACAGATAATTGAACAAAGCTCTTTTCGGATCGCGACGTTCAGTTATCCCAGATAACATCATCAGGCATATCAAAAGAACACCTTCAAAGGACCAATGTCTCATACGATGATCAGTTAGATGAGGGTGTATCCGTGACAACATGCTTCCAAGCATGCTTACAATAATGTTAACATATTTGGAGGCACATTGCGCAGGTCGTCTTGAGCACGCGTTCCTGCACGTGCCACCTTCCCAACCGCCACTTCGTGCACCTATAAATATGTATATATATGTATATATATATATATACATATATGCACATATAAATATATACATATAATTATATGCACATATAAATAAATATATACACTTGATGTTGTCAATTCTTACGAACAATTATTAATCTCGCACCCTATTCTCCAAAACGCGAGGCCGCGGCGCAGACTAGGAGACGGGCACGCGCCATAACAGCAGCCACGCGTGCCATGGCAAGTAGACGGACATGCACCATTTCAAAAATGTAAATATGAATAGAAAAGCGCCACAACATGTTCCAGCGATCCTTCTGTATAATATCTTATCCAGATCCGAAGTCAATATTACTTCATGGTCAAGCTGCAAGGCCATGCATACCAGCACCGCTATTCCCTGGACGCCTCTCACTCGGAAGCGCCGATTGGTGGATGGCGGTGCGACGTCGGCCTGTTAGGGGGAGGGGTACACGTGACGCCATATTCCGCCGCGGCCGCCTGGCCGTACTGCGCCACGTTCCTGCACGCGCCATGCTCCCAACGGCCGCCTCGTGCGACCAGTTCGCGACTGGCTGCCAAATAACGGCTTGCGGCAGGGTAACTGCGACGCACACACAGTGGCGGGAGGCTTCTTCAGGACAGGGTTCATCCAGGCTTGTGGATCAGGCCCATGCAAGCAGGCGGATCTGGCCGTACAGACGTGTGGATCAGGTCAATACAGGCGTGCTAATCCGGCCCGTACAGGCATGTGGATCAGGCCCATACAGGCGCGTGGACCCGCCCTGTTCTTGCGTGCGGATCAGGAGTGTTCAGACGTGTGAGACTGAGAGCATTCAGACGTGTGGACCAGGTCCATCCAAGTGCGTGGACCAATCTTGTCCAAATGTGTGGACCACTCATGTTCTGACGTATGGACCGGAATGGTTCAGATGTGTGGACGAGGTCCTTTCAAATGTGCAGACCTTATCTTATTGACCGGGAGAAAGTCTTCACACGAGTGCAGTGAGTCGATCTGTATGAGGCTGATGACGTTCTCCGAAGCGAGCGCGGGTAGAATGGTGAAGCGGCCGTCGACATGAATGGAGGAGCACCAAGACCGCAAGCTGGTGACTTAAGCCGGTTACTGATGAATCATATTGTGGCATACGTAGCTTAGCAGCCAGCAGGTAAAGCAGACTGTGTTTTTGCGTCGTAGTTTGAAATGGCCGCCATGCACGAATTGGATGGCTGGACATATAATGTTAACACCAAAGACATTCATTGGCACTGGATGTTCGCGTCTGCTTTCCCCTTGGATATCATTGTCACGAGTGTCACGGATGACGTAGGTCGCATTCTTTGAAATCATCATACACCCCCCTTTCTATCTAATGGCCTAGTGTCAGCGAATTAAACGTCCTTATTGCGTCTAATGTCGTGAATGCACCGTTAATGGCGTGAGTGAACTGCAATTGTCTTCATTCAGATACTCGCCGTCGTCGACTCACCTGTATTTGCATTTTTGGTTTGGCAGAGTACCTGGGTACGGACATGTGCTGAGCGAACGGAGACACATCTGCAGCTCTAGCCCCATTGCGACTGAGACAGAGGCGTTCTTACAATATTGAAGGCCGTTTTTGACAGTTTGCGTCTGGCTCTCCCATCTGAACACCAACGCAATGGGCTCAATAAGGATGGTCCCACTCCGCAATATCGCCTATAATATGGTGACCGGGGCTACAG